GTACATGGAACAATAACTGCAGGACTTAAATCGATTTCACTCATATTTTGGTCACTTTGTATTAATTTTCAGAAACTGATCACTAAACACCTACGCATCACCCATGAATCCTAAACTCCAAACACAACAGTCTTAGAAATGATCGCTTTTATCATAAAAATTATGCTCAGGACATTCAGCTTGTAAACTATCTAGATCATTAGCAGATTACAAAATGCAGTCTGAAATAAGAAAACTCAAACGAGAGCGCAAAGCGGTTGTTGGTTATTTAGGTAGCGCGCCATATGGGTGGCACCGGTGACAAATGGATAATACCTTATACGCAAAGTGACGGAACTGGAAGTATTATATATGATAAAAATAAATTCAGGTACGTATGAATATGACTGGAAAAAATGGACTTTAGTGGTACGGTAATGACTTCTGCGAAGCCTCTCAATTAACTGTAAAAGCCTCTACAGCCATTGCACATAACCGTTCTGTAGTATCGAATCGACAGGTCGATCTATCCGCTATATGCTGTACTCGTAATTCGTAAAATGCAAAAGTGCATGGAAACGAGGTACTGGAATACAGTGATGCACAGCAAATTCCTAATGTAGAATAACTAAGAAAAATAGTTCCATGGATTTTGCTCTTCAAGGCAAAGAGATCACTTCGACGAGGACGAACACACGGTTTTGCCAGCCTTCCGCCACTTTGGCATCGCAAAAAACAACAGAACTGGATCCGCTATCCCCTGACAGCTGAATAATATAGACAGCGCAGTCTGCACATTCATATCATATACTCCAAAAGCGTACTGAAAAGTGTACCCCACTGCATATGGTCCCCAGCAAATGACAATACTAATCGCCAAAACGCCCATTACAATATTAGCTTCGTTTTCCATCAGCTTGGCTCTTTTATCTTCCGGCGCTCCTCCATTAGGCAGGGTCTTTTCTTTATACGAATAACGTTGATGCAATTTCCAAATGATGAGCATGGCCGACACAAGGGTGACCGAAAAGCATACCAAGATTGTAGCTTTTTGCGTAGTCGCCGCAATCTCCTCGGTGGACGATTTGGCAGCATCGAAGTTATAGCATTCGTGCATTTGGCTGACTTGGCGAGAAAGTACATTTAGCACGGCGCACGGCATTCCGATAGCGATAGACACAATCCAGATTACAGAAAGTATACAACAAACGCCGCGGAATGTTTGGAAATGGCGAAAAGTCACGGGTACAAGAATCGCCCAAATGCGGTTGACAGCAATATTAGCGTGGCTCAGAGTTTGCAACATGGTGAACACATAAATGGTAGCCATGTAAACTATGCAACCGCAAATACCAACACGAAATCTGGGCTGCCAAAAGAAGATCACCGAAAATGAACCTTCTATCCCACCAAACAGCACATTAGAACAGAGGAGGCTGAGAAAGTGCAAGTCAAACGGTGTTTTGGACTTGACTTTAAAGATGAAAATGCAGCAAAGACAGAAGTTAAGTATCACTGCTGCAGCGGAAAGAAGCAAATAGATAACCTGGACTACTGGCTCTTCCAGGATTTCTCTTCCTAGCGTAGCGTTGTCCTCGCGAGATCGATTCATGGTAATCTCACCATTAAAACGTGAAGAGGACTTATTCATTTCTGCAACCCGTCCGCTGGCCATTAGTGAGCGTATTTTAGGCAATGGAAACCTGATTAGCTGCGAAAATTGCGAATACAAATATTATACATATAATTGCGTCACTTTCTTTTCCGAATTTCAGGCGCAACAGTACAGATAGATCTATCAAACGACGTTATACTTACTGCTTACCGCATCCTATACTGCTCTGTGTGGCATGGTACGTTAACGTTAGGTTCAAACTCTGCGGTGCATTCAGGTGACTTAATGTTTACTGACCATTCAGCTGTCAGGATTCGATGACATTTTAATGCATTGCAATGTACTGAAATGTTCGCTTTTACAACAACAGAATGGTACTACTGTATGAAGCTCATTAGAACAGCTGACAACAAAGGGACAGTTATGAAATAAAACTGATGTCATAATTTAGTAAGCAGTACTAAGCACCCAGTTGACCTCGAAAGAAATTTTTACTGCCATGGAACCACCATCGGTTAAAATGGGATCCTAATTGCTCCCAGAAGGGTGATGAGCGAAGTTGAGAAAAATTATTTTGATAGGCAGAAACGTTCTGGAATCTAGGATGAAAAAGTTGAATATGGAACTGAAATCTGGAAACGACATGTATACTCGCTAAACAGATTTTGTTTTTAATTTGCCGCGCTTACATTGCAAAATATTTCAAAGCTCGTAAACTGTACTTCTACTGCACCTCGTTCACACCAGATTATCGGTGTGCAGAAAAAATATCACAATCTGAAGAATAACTTCTGTCCTAGAGCAGAGCTGAGTAAGTAATGGAGTGCACCGCTGTTGGTTGGTATCAAATGAACGAAGCGAAGCCGGAAAAAATTTTTCATAATATAGATGTTGATTTCCACATTTTGGTTCAGAAACTTAGAAAATTTGAGTTTGGAAAATTACAATTTAAAAAGTCTATTAGCGGTTTGAAAATAAAGACGTTAGCTTTCCGCCAGTTTTTGTATGCGACAAACAACAGAATTGGAGTTTTGCCCATTTGCTTTTACTATGCTATTAATGCTTCACGGTTAAATAAGCACTAGCGCATTCTGTATTTCATACTATTTGTATTTTATTTAACTTGTACCCTCAGCAAAAGATCACGAAAGCAGGGTTCACCCAGTGCGATACTGAGGCTTTTGCATGGCTCAAGGTCTGCTACACCAGGAGTCCAAAAGCTTACAGAATAAATGTATAGAACTGCAACCAGGAGGTTTGACTGGAAATATGAAGGAAATAAGTTGCAAAACATAATTTCTCTTGTTAAATGACATATGTACTGCCACAGAAAGATTTTTTATTCAAAGCACAAGGCAAGCGCTACTTTTAGCGAATTTAGGGCTTTCATGTATGTTTTTATTTTTCTGCACATCAGCTACGAAACCAATTAGATAGACGATTTGCTACCATCAAGAAGCGCGTGCTTTCCAGATAATTGGAAAACTGCAGCTTTTACGCAGGTAACAATGAAAGAGCTCGATGGATTAGTTTGAAGTTTTAGAATTCTGAGTGAGGTGTTAATTTTTGTGGTAAGCCGAAAGCGGTATTTTCTATAAAGCTGATAAGGAAAGCTATGCGAACACTAGCGTCCTTCTCATGTTCTCTACATTGTAAACAAGCTTATGCCGGCCATCCGCCATTTCGGAAAAGTTAAGAATACCAAGACAGGGTCCGCAATAGCCTGGAAACTAAATAAAACAGACACCGCTGATTGCACTTGAACGTCATATATTCCAAATGCACGCTGCAAAATAAAGTAAATTGTATATGGTCCCCAGAAGAGCAGGATGCTGACAGCTAAGGCTCCTGTGATCCTGTTTGCGTCATTCTCTAGACGTTTCCCTTGCCCGTCTGCGATCGTTCCCGTCACATTTGACCTTTGTACCGTTTGAGTTTGAGTATGAATTTGGTAACGTTGGCGTAATTTCCAAATAATTAGCGAAAGCGCTACGATGGTCACCGTAAAACATAGCACAACCACAGCCCTTTGTGTGGCGTCGGCGATTTCCTCGGTTACCGAATAAGCCGCTTCAAAATTAAAGCATTCGTCCAACAGGGTGACGTTACGAAAAATAACACTGAGGACTGCACAAGGATATCCGATAGCCTGTGGTACAACCCAAATAATAGCCAGCACACATCCAGCAAAGCGAAAGGTCTGACAGTGGCGAAAGGTAACCGGTGCGATGATCGCCAATATACGCTGTATGGCGATATTGGCATGATTAATAGTTTGCATTACCATGAAGACGTTAACATTGGACACGAAAGCAACACAAGCAGCAATTCCAATTGGAAACTGCGGATGGAAAGAAAGAATTGCCGATGCTGGACAGTCTATTCCATAAAAGATCATGTTAGCAGCAAGCAGACTTAAGAAATAGAAGTCAAACGGTGTCTTCGGGTTGACTTTAAAGATGAACGTGATACACAGAAACAGGTTGAGTGTGAACGCGGTAATGTCGATACACAGGAATGTCAGTAAGTAGGCAGTATTGTCCATAAGTTCCACGGAAAGACTAACATTACCACTGCCCGATCGATTCCAGTAATCGGTAACTGGAAAACCTTTGAAACCCGTAGTGTTGCTCATTTTACTAAGTAGCTCGGACTAATTAATTTGCAAAAAAAGTATTGTAAAACACAAGAAACGCTTACGTAAACACGAGCAAAATATGGTTTTGTGGAAAAATCGTATATGACGGATGACATTAATTTTAGACTCCGAGAGACACATGAACCAATACTCTGGCAGCCTGTAGCAGCGCTATAGGACGTGGCTGATTATACAATGACTAGGATGTTGTATTTTCAGTTTCAATTTTGATTTCAATTTAAATCCGATCAGGTAGCTCATTTCGGCGCTTAGCCGGCTTATTCAGTATCCAGTTGATATTAATGCCCTTGTTTTACAAGCCACATAAAGTACACTAGTACATTAGTAGACATCATATTTCTCTAATACGTGTTAGCTGAGGATATCAGTTTTTACAGAAACATGAACTCTGCTGCTCTAGTTCTGCATGTCACTGTTCATTAGCAATCCTTATTTCCTAGCTCCTTCGGGAAAAGGTCGACTCGAATTTACGGTGAATATTATGTACGTAAATATTTAGCGCGCGTCTAAATATTTTGAGCGCGGCATCCTGGCAGTAGAAATACGAATGCACCCTTACAATAAATTACCGAGGACTCTGTATACCAAGAATAAACAGTACTTCATAAATAATTCATTAATAATTAATAATTCGTTTTCTGGCTCTTTTGATCATTTGGAACTTCAAATATCAAATCTATTACTAGTAGTTTATCCTCCAAGCTGCTGTGATCAGTCGTAATTTTTTCAATCAGCAGATGTGCCGGGTGTTATAGTACTCGTATAACAGCTGCATTTTTTCCAATCTTGTACAATTTATCTTTTCGAACTGGAATTGCTGTACAACACGAATACAAAAAGGAAGGCCAGTTATATCATAATTGTTAGGTCGCCAAGAGGGGCAGTGTTAAAAATCCATGGTAAATACAGTCCCACTTTGGTGTACAGCCCGCCTAATCCTGTGCCGCATCCAATGCCAGACGATGTAACTCCAGCTAAATATTGTGTTCCGGTTGTCGCATTGTAGCAGAAAAGAGGACCGCCACTGTCACCTTGACAAGCATCTTGGCCGATAATCCCACCGGCGCATAAATACAGATCGAGATCGGTCACTTGGCCAGTAGCCGCCTGCTGGAAAGCGCATGTAGTATAGTTTGAAGGCCGTATTGTCTGGAGAACGTATTTCAATGGAATGTCTTGTCGAGGAGGAGCCACGGTTCCTATCGCATTATTATATTACAAGTATTGTAAGTGGCGTGCAAAGTGCCCTTTCTCGTTTAGACACTTTAGCGCCTATGTATGAACATGCTATTTTCAAAACTGGATGGTTTACTAATCATTATTAATTATGTGCTACATATAGCTTTTTTCCTCACCGGACGATAGATCGATTTCGTCTCCCCAACCAGATGTAATGCATTTATCCCCAACTTGTGGTATTTGCCGGTTTAAACATAGTGGACAAGCACATGCTGCATGCAACCGAAAATCAATAGGCTCGTTGAGAATCATTATCGCCATGTCATTGTCCAAGGTATCTATATCGAAATTGGGATGAGGAATGGTTAAATTGACGCTGTAGCTGCGAGCGCATCCATCCACCACAATGGGAAAGATGGTGTTTCCGGAATACGGGGCCCAGGTCACAACGCCAATAAAGACAACCATCCGGAACGCTGAGGAGTTATATGTGGCCGGATTGAAAGGAGCGTTTAAGTTGACAACACAATGCGCAGCGGTTATCACCGTTTTACTCCCGATGATTGTGCCGCCGCAGCCGGTGAGCGGGTTGCCGGCAGCATCCGATTGGTAAACTGCAACCTAAAAGTTTAAATTCTAATTAATTTTATTCCAACCGCATGTTGCGCGCGCAAACTGATTTCAAGGCTGCGTATGCAATCCTTTGGCTACTAATGTTATGTACCGGGCCAAATCTCTTTATGCGAAGCACTACCGTTTTTATTCCTAAATTTCAGCATAAAATATACAATATACAGTACGTAAGTATATTAACAACCTACGTTTTGTCCAGTGATCAGCGAAGCGTAAGTATGCGTAGTAAAAGAAAAATTTAAACTGTTTAAACTTGTCTTACTTGCCAGCAAATAGAACCGGTACCACTGGGTGCCTCGAAGCCTCCCACAATCGTCTGCTGGATGGTAAAACGATTTCTCTCATTCTTTCCCTTGAAAACGCTTTTCGTTCGGACCATTCCCAAATCCGCTGACATCTTCAAGCGCTCAATCGGATTGAACAAATTTGGATCACCATTGGGTATACCGCATTGTCGCTCCCGCACAAAAGCTGTGTGCGATTTCTGGTAGTCACTGCCAGCGGTTACCGGTGCCGGTGATGTTGTACTGCTCGTAGTGGACGGATCCGTTATGATTACGCCTAATTAAGAATAGAAGTACGCCACAGTGCAAGCGTACATCTGATGTGCAAAAAATTCTGTAGACCTACTATAACAACAAGCAGCGTTGCCACCGTTGAAACCCGCGCAGTCAGTGGATGTACTGACATCCATGTCCGTGCACAGTCCCATGCCCATACCAAGAGGAGTGATACATACGCCCACTTGACCCAGCGACGGATTGGAGGCCGGTGTGCAGCGTGGTCCAACTGTCGAGGGCGTTGTCGTTGTGGCCGTTGGTGCTGGCGTCGGCGTAGATTCTGCCGGTGGATAATAAGAATATGGCGGGGAATTTGAATAAACAGGGAACGAGCCTTGTTTTGCTGGTACTAATGTAATCTCGTTAGACTGTGGAAATGTCTGCCGGAAAAAGCTTGCGGCTGCCGGTGCAACGCTGCGGAACCGTATTAAAGCGTGAGAAAAACTGCAGGAGATCGTGAAAATCATCAAGATTCTGGACAGCAGTGGCGTCGAAAATCTTTGGTGGCCGTAGTAAATCTCCATGATAAACAGAAAAACACACGCAGTATATTAAATATAAACATGTATATTTTATTATACGAACACGCGCATTGTTAACGCGCGTAAATTAGACAACAGTTATCGAAGTGTAATTCTGCACGACAGTAATGACATCAAACCTGAAAGGTATAACGCTTTTGCGAAGTAATTATTTCTTCATTTTACTTCGGACGGATGATTTATTGTGAATAAGAGAATCATCTGGCCATGGAACTCCGGTACCATTAATTTGTGACTCTTCACTTTTGTAGCAAGACTGTTTTCCATCTTGATGTGCGACGTTCGTTTTCAAATAAGTAAATGCCGGCAACGGCTACTTGCATTATTGCGGCGCTTTGAACCGCTTTGTTCGTTCGAAATACAAAATGCACAATTTTTGAAAGGGCAATAATTACTGCTACATATGATAGCGTAGGTGTTAGAAGATTACTAATTAAACAAAGTGATTCTAGTCATTGATGTACAGTCCTTTGTACCAGTTCTTCTAAAAACTTCGGCAAGCTTCTTTGCACTTGACACGGAATCAGTAATCACCCGTGTTTACCATTATACATAATTGTTATTGTTGTCTTTTAGTGCTTCCCGTATTATTAAGCACCCTGCAATCTATTAGTAACTGTTAAAGTTATCCCAAAACACCACATTATGCATTATTATTTTGTTCTACATCTACTGAGCATTTACGCAGATGTAAAATCTACATAATATACTACTAACAATAAATACAGCAGTGCACTGCGAAACTAATAGCTAATATTTAAAAAAAGCCAACAGAGTACTAACTACGACCAAGACAGACAGTTTACGTTGTGTAAAAACCAATAACTTGCAAAATATTGCGGCGTATTACCCTAGGGTACGGGGTTTTTATATGGATCGGTGGCGCTCTACAATAGGAGCGACTGAATTATTTATGCATTCTGAATAAGCAATTTTGTGGGCACAGTTGTATTTGTACTTGTAAGCTTGTAGCTAGCTGCAGTGTACGGATGCGATACCCTGTGCATTACATAATAACATCCATTCTAAACTAAAGCGTTGGTACCACACAGCAAGTATCGTATATCAACAAATTAGTCAACAATAACCGTTATAGTATTAAACCATTACCAAGATCGTATTAACCATTTCCTCAACTCGTGAAGTTCTGCATCACTAATAACAAAAACATACAGATTGTCTGCATTACTTTGGCAATGAAGATCTACAACCGTAAAGCACGCTATCAAGAAATAAAATAATGTGTTATCACTTATCATTTGTGAAATGACTGATAGGTTATTGGCTTATTGCCGCGCTGCATCCATGCATACCATGTTGACTTTTTAAGAGTATCAGGACAGCCAGCTAAAGAAGGCAAATGATACCCGTATTTAGGGATAATTTCAAGGTATATACGGCCGATTTTGAGCTAACTCCTTCATCGTGTCGAATTTTATATTTGTTGTGTATTCTTATCTACAGCGTCAGCCGCCAGGTATACTTGTTCTATAACTATCTGCATATATTCTTCGTAGTCAGAGGTATCGGAACATTTGTTATGTTCCGGAGGATGGGACTGGCACGCGCTAGTTTCCCCAGTGTGGTGGGTGTGCTGTTATTGGCGCTTTATCCAGCGCACTGTAATTATCATACAATTACAATTCTTGGAGAATCGGAACCAGACGTTATCGAAGTTCTTCGGAGTGCCTACAAACCAGTTCCAAAAATACAAAAAGTCGAAGAAATCGGCAGTTTATTTCATCACACTTTTACAGTAAGTACGTACGCAAGCATAAAAGTGCTTAAGTGTTGACAAGGGGCAGTGATTCTCGATTAATAAGTCAATAATTGCGTTAAGAGACTTTTAAAGAGTTTATTTAAAGCTTCGCGGTACGTATCGCGGTTTTGTTAAATACTGGCCTTCACGGCTCGACATTTTAGATTGATAAGAGAGAGTAATCTTCACTAGGATATTCTGATAAAATCGATCTTTGAGTTATTTTTTTTAATTTTTTCTCTTTTTATGTATTTGTTTTGAAGGTAATTTCGCTGCAGGTTCACAACACAGGAGAATGGCCGTCACAGGACAGCCGACTGCTGGTGCAGTGGCCTTACAGCGTCCGGAACCCTCAGGAAGTGGAAGAACAACTGACTTATTTTGAAAGCGATATCATTGTTCAGGTAATTCAAGGGACGGTTATAGTTCTGTTTCATGTACTGTAACTATGCATTCCTATGCGGTGACATTTGGTTTATTTAGCTTGACGATGCACATTAAAATACAGCTGCACGATGCACATACAACTTATTGTTAGCATATCAGTTTTATGTGTGCGAAAAGGTGTACAGTACACACCATGATAACGTGGACTATGGAGTTAGGACTTACGAAGTATGAAAACAGAGTAAATAACGCTTTTAACATTAAGTACGGTAGTTATTGCTGTCAACAGTATATACATTTTCTACAGTACTTTTACGAGTCCATCTAGCACGCGACTTAAAACGGCAATGCAGAACTAGTAAAGCACTCGTATTCGGTATTATTAGATGTATTCGGAAAAAATCCAAGAAATGCTGACGTGAACACAAACACTGTCCTGGTAAATTTTCGAATGACGTTATCATCATCGTAGGATCTTTCCACTGGACTTGAAATACTATCGAACTGTTCGCTGCCAGAGATTCTGCATAATCCTCCAAAGTTTGCAGTGAGTACGGTCCCACTTTTTTCACGCGTCATGTTGTTCATTAAGTTTTCGTTTGGATTCATAGAAAAAACGGAGAAGCGTAACTCCAACCGACCAACTCAGCAACACCAAAGGGCAAACGCCATTCTCCAAAGCTGCAACTTCACCGTGGCATTTTCACCTGGTAAACGCTGAGATGTACATTTTCTAGGCAGTTTAAATTTCGCGTGAAGTTAATCAGTTTGCTGAACTAAAAACAGAGCTGCAATCACTCCCGGGTCAACTGCGTGCCGCTGACATGCGACCTTCCGCCAATCGGCGCAGACCAAAAGATCGTCGTCAAGATCGCGGCCAGACTATGGGAGAGCACATTAATCCAAGACCTCGCACCGTTCCATACGATTCATATTCACTCCCTCGCCACACTATACTTAAATCCTCCATTAGAGTTGCGTCACAAACGATCCCTACCGGCAGTTTACGTTACGAGTGCGGAATTAACGGCTGTCATCGAACCGGTACGATCGGAAGATCCAGGACGAAATTGGGAGGGTCCGTTTTTTGGCATTGTTTTTGCCGCTATAATCCTACTGCTAGTGATATTTACCGTGAACGCTAGAAGATCAGCAAAATTCCGGGAGGAGCGGCACAAAAACGCTACGAACCGGAGAAGCAGAACACGGAGTCCAGCAAGGCCAATGTATTCTGTTGTTAAATTTGCAAAAGTAGCAGAGCCACTGCTGGAAGGGCAAGCCACGACGACCGTTTAAAGGCTGTTCGAAGACTTGCCAATCAGTTAAAGAAAAATCTCGCCGACAATTGAAAGCCCTGAACCCGGTTACCCATTCAAGTTAATATTGACTGTGCCTTTAATATTATTTTGGCTCCTTATGTTGGAAAGCAAATTCAGCAATCATTTCATTATACATGTATGAAGTACTCTGTACATAATAATGATGTTCTATCCTAGCAATACCCCTTATAACAAATCCGCTGCCATAATTATACGACATTTATGAAGGCGTCCGCTGTTTAATAACCTTAATTAAGCGATCTCTAATTAAGCCAGCAACTGATGGTTCCGAAGGAATTAGACATCCACGAGAATATTATCGACAACAACTGAATGGAAAAGTGAAACACATTCCATCAGTTGCTGGCTTCCGCACTCTGCTGCCGGTGAACTTCATTTCGACTGCACATTCGTTGTAATTCATTGTTCATTCATTGTAATGTACATAAAATCAACTGCACCTTACATTTCCACTTCTGGTATTACTAAAGGTCTGTAAATCTGCAGCAATGAGCAAGAAAAACTTGTAAAATGGCGCATGCTTTGCACTCGTACACGAACACTTGAGGAAATGCAAGCACTAAAAAGATATTGCAGCTCAAGCGCATCTGCATATGACAACTGGGTATAGCAAGGCACCTGGGGAATCGAAACAAAGAACATTTATTTGTTTTTGCATTTGCGGCGATTAATCATCAGTCATCACACATCGGCCAGTTGTTTAATCTGCGGGAATAAAGCACCAGGATGGTCGGATTACAACGTCAACACGGTACTCTGACAACCTAGCCGACATAGTGCAGAAGTGCTCTCTCAATGGAATCGATTTTTGGCAAGCATTTTTGCAGTGCATTTCTACGAATATCAGTTTTTAACAGTTTTTGTCTGTACTGAATTCCGCTGCAGTGATGCATTATTCAACAATTCGTGTGAAATTATGAACAAAACGCTGTGTGTAGTGTTATGTCAGAATGTGTCACACCTATTTGAAACGATTCAGTATCAGTGTAATGAAAAACTATACAGTTGCGCATTGAACTGATCGTTGGATAATGCGGTATTTTTCCGAGTTTCTCCAAACAAAACCGTTATCTGTACAAGCCCAAAATGAGGACACTGAGATGGACATCCTTAGTCTACTTGGTTCTGTTAGGTTTACTGCACTTCATAGTGCGGTCACCATGGTCTGCACATCTTGCTAGCGCCCAAAAGTTTGGTAACTCCATGCCAATTTTCTACCAGATGGTTTTGCTGATTATCTTACGGGTTGCACACATTTCCAAGTGCTCTGTGTGTTTTACTGATTGCATGTACTTTCAGGTATCCTGGATGCCATTGAAGAAGCGGAAGGTATTCTGGGAACTGGGATTAGCAGCGAATCGAATTCTCAGACACTGTCGCATCTCTATGATATCCGGGAATTTCTCGGCCAACCTGTAACGAAAGGTCATAAAAAATGATTATTAACTTTTGCAAATCTGATTATCTATAATGATGAGGTATACGTAACTGTACTTATAGTCTTGTGATATTATGTAAGTAAATATATGTATATAATCGACGCCCAAAACATTCTATCAATGAATAGCATAGCCGAAGCTTATTGTACGGTGTTTACACTTTACAGTATGTGAGACACTGGATCTTCTAAGTGATCTTCTCTATATCACTACGGAATCTTGTATGCCTCCTCGAATTGTGAGAAGCATCCGAAATCCTGTTATACTGATACCCACCAGATCCAGTATGGGGGATGACCGCGAAGGCTGTGTCGCCCAGTCAACCACACCAGCATCCGTTGATGGCTTTTCCAATCTGTTCCCCTTTTATATGTTTGGATATGGATTATCCGAGATCGTACCGGGTATCATCAGTCAGGGTTTTCGTTGGGACAACGCTGTGGTTATTCATATGTGCGATGGAGAATCCTTTTGCGGTAAGTACTCATGCAATGCAGAGCATGCATTGAATCATTATGCAAGAGTTGAGGATACAGGACTACATAAAATGCCGTCATATGACGGCATTTTATGTAGTCCTGTATCCTCAACTCTTGCATAATGATTCACGCTTATGCGATATCCTTTGGCCCACGTTATTTTATTCCAGACCGTACGTTTTAAAAACGTTGGGTAAAAACTAAAGCAAACAATCTCCTGTACAATCAGTGTCTTACCAGGTCGTGAAGAAATGGAGGCGACCATCGAGCGGCTCCATGCCCAGTTTGTTACTACGCTTCAGTGTTGGCTGCAACCGCGCGATGCACAGCAGTTCAACCTTCTCTTTGGAGAGTGCTTGCAGTTGCTCACTTTGCTTCCCAATGCTGACCGGAGGATTCTAATCGTCCCACACACCAAAAACAACGTTATCGCAGCTTCTTTAAAAGTTGTAAGAGCGTTTAATAGCTGTGGCAATTACGTTAATCCAATAATACCGAAACGATACAGTACCACAAGCTTTCCGTATCGTATTACAGTAACATCGCGGAATGCGAAATGACGTAGTGCACGGGCTGTTAGTTATATACGAGTTAGTTATATAATGGAATATCGCATGAGCCAAGTCAATGAAAGTCGCACCTACAAGAAAATCAAATTTCATTTTATGATACTTTTTGATTTGATTCCAACAAAATGTTGCTACTAAATCTTGCTTTTTAGATGACAGACATGTTGGTTTTAAACATGTTGGCAGAAGTCACCTTTGTCCTGCCATCCTGGTACCAAATAACCGAGCAGGACTTTCTGATCATCAAAGACCGTGACATCGTGCGTGTCGTACGCTGGCGCGCTGAGTACTGGTTGTCATCAGTCACCAGTCGCATCGTGCAGCACTACGTGGATTTTTGGATGAATTCCGCTCCCTTAAAACCAGAAGCTACAAACATCTACAGCAAGCAGATGTCGCTCGCTGGCCTTCTGTCAACAATCTCCACGACGGAGTATTACTCTCGCGTAATCGAGTCGCGAGGTCAAAACAGACATAGCGTCTGCGGGAACAACACATCTCCATCACCTGAAATTCAAGAGGTCATGCGAGAACTGGCAAAATTGCTGTCCTGCTCAGAAAACGCCGGATGGGAAGTGTGCACAAGTTATTCCGTGACGCGCTACGACATTGACCCGATGGACAACATGCCGCATGTTTATAATACGGGGATCTGGTACGTGGGTAACCAATCATACCACGGAATGAGTTATCGCAGCGTGAACGATCTGGGTGGTCGGATGCTGACCGTGGTGTCAATGGAGTTACCGCCGTTCATGGCCAAGAATGAAACCGCTTTCCAATTACTCAGCAGCGGAGCGGCGTCCGTTTCTGATAAGCAGTATCTGTACCATGGAATAATACCGAATATGCTACAGACTTTATCACGAGTTCTTAACTTCAGGTTCGGGCATTGTCATTAAAAACATTAACTAGCAACTTAAAGAAACTATGCCGTTTTCTTTTGTGATAGGGTAAACTTACATCTTTTCAAAATTTAACGTCGCTTTACTCGCTGCGCTAAGCTCTGCGCAAAAAGTATGCAGACGTAGAGTCCTAATGCTTAACTAATCGTTACAGATATAAAATCATTTTCCCACCCAGTGGAGACAATTTCTACGGTAGCCGCGATACCAACGGATCATGGAACGGAATGGTCGGCATGCTAGCGCGAGGTGAAGTGGAGATGGTTGCGGCTGACCTCACCATCACCGCAGAACGCGAGGAAGTTGTCCATTTCACCGTACCGTTCTTCGAAGATCCCATTACTGTTCTGCTTCCCCGAAGCGAGTTCGATAAGAGTTTGTTCACATTCCTTCTTCCTTTCAATAAAATTGTGAGTAGTAATATGCAGCATCATATATGACATTGATCACATTATGTACACCAACATTTTATGAATGCCTGTTGAAATATTTGCCGGTAACGAAAAGGTACGCATTTTTTACCACAATCGCTTTTGCACAGGTATGGATCTGTGTCATCGGAGTCGTCGCGCTCTCCGGTCCTCTGTTGTACTTTTTCAGCCGTCTTTCTCCATATTACCCGGCAACTGGCAAACCTAACCATTTCGCTTCCCTCTCCGAAGCGTACATGTACTGCTACGGTGCCATCGTCTCGCAAGGTGGTCAGATCACACCGGACTCCGATTCCGCTCGGATATTTATGGCCTTCTGGTGGTTGTTTGGTATTTGCACGGTAGCCACGTACTCCGGTAATCTGATCGCCTTTCTGACGTTTCCCGGGCGACTGCAGTTCATCGACAATTTCGATGACTTCGTGTATCAGAGTAACATCCAACCGGTGGTCACTCGTAATTCCTACATCGAGATTGCATTTCGCACAGCGGAGAAACAGATCTATCGGGATATCTGGAAAAAGATTACCAAAAATCCGGAAGCCGGTTTGGTGGATGAATATGATACCGCTGTACAGATGGTTTCCAGATTGAAATATGGATATATTGGACAACAAGCCAATATGCGGGTCACGATTGCGGAGGATTCCGAGTTACCGGGTCAGTGTCGGTTCGCGATGATGCGGAAAGCCATCGAAAAGTCGAAATACGCTCTTGGATTTCGCAGAGGCACAAATTACGCGCCTCTCTTCGACAAATGGTACGATACTAATTTCACGAGCAAAAATCTATTAAATTACAATGTAGTATCACGAATGCTTCTTTAGTGTACGATAGTCCTGAATTTTAAGCGTGTCAGCAGTAGAATGCGTTTTTTGTACTTGCACTCGTGGTGATCTTGATTAAAATACCAAGAAAATTATTGCAGCATAGTGAGCACAAACTACAAAGTAAATGCTAAAATATTTAAATTTTTAGGATACAACGTTTGGTCTTCTCTGGATTAATTGCGCACTGGGCGGACCGCGAATGGCAAGGTAACTATAAACCAAAGCGCTGTCAGCAGCAGCTGGAAAGCCGCCCGGACGAAATCCGCAAAGTGCAGATCGAGGATGTTATCGGCGTGTACATCTGCTGGGCTGTCGGTTTGACCCTGGCTTGTATTCTCTTTGCGGCTGAAAGGTTGACCCTCACCTCACACCGCTTGGGTCGGGCATGCCGGAATTTCTTCAATAAACGAAGCAAAGCCGGGACGGAAACCTCGCCGCAAAGTTTTGATTTAAAGGTCATTACGTTAAATAACGGGATGGTTCTGGAATCGCGGTGATGTACTTAATATCGTGCTTTGATACCTCTCATTCACTTTTTAACATACTTTACCAAATATAATTTAATGATCTCAATCAACCAAAGCGCATTTCGTACAGACATTCTGAAGACGGCACTTGCTTTTGATGCTGCAAGTTACACCGCTGCTATTGTGAAGACAAAAGTTTTGGCTTTTTAATTGAACTCCTGTTCTTTTTTTTTACACCATTATTGATAGATCACCAAGAGGAGCAGTGTTAAAAATCCATGGTAAATACAGTCCAACCTTCGTGTAAAGCGCACCCCAGCTAGTGCCACAACCGATACCGATGGACACTATGCCCGCTAGGTACTGTGTGGAAGTGTTTGCGTCATAACAAAACAATGGTCCTCCGCTGTCACCCTGGCAGGAATCTTCACCAACCTTTCCACCAGCGCATAGAAAGAGATCCAAATTAGTATATGTGTGATTATTCAAAAAAATGTAGCCGCAGTGATCGTAACTGGATTGGAGGATGGTTTGCTGCACGTATTTCAGTGGAATGGCCTCACGTGGGGCGGTCACATTGTCTGTACATAAACCGTAATGAAGTTCAATGCGTTCATAGTACTTCATACTGTACATTCTTGGTACTTGTACTGTACAATTTTGTACTTGTTTCGGGCTCGTGTTCTGACATTAAAAATTAATAATAGGGTACCGTAGTCGTTCTTACTTATACCTTATGTTTGAAATCTGGATCTAGGTACTAAGTAGCCAGTTCTAGCATTAATTCGTCTTACCGAATTCTAGATCGACTTCATCTCCAAAACCGGATACAATACATTTGTCGCCTACTTCAGGAATCTGTTTGCTCAAACACAGCTTGCATGCACAGGCTCCCCGACGTCGAAAATTAATTGGTTCAGACAGGATTAGCAACGCTAAGTCGTTATCTTGCACCGATGAATCAAAATCAGGATGCGGTATCGATAGCGATACGTTATAATTCCATGCGCATCCTTGCACATAGTTGGGAAGCAACGTTTCGCCGTTGGTGTCACGCGTGATAGCGCCAATTGTAACAAGAAAGCGATTGGCTGACGAATTGTACTGAGCAGTGGTAATGTCGTTATCCACCATGCAGTGCGCGGCTGTCAAGATAGTCCGACTGCCAATGATAACTCCGCCGCACAGATTCGCATTACCTGTTGGTCCCAGTCGAACGACGCTGACCTTTTTTAGCAAAGGAAATTTACGTCGTAAACATAGTCGTAAATGGTATTGCTATCGATATCTACAGTTATCTGTCAATATTTTTTGTCACAAGGTTTCGTCAAGGCAGTCTGCTAATTGTAAGTTTTAATCTGCTTTTTAAAGAACAGATTTTTCACAAAGAGCAAGAGCGCAGATTTTGCCGGAAATCTATCCAGCATTATGAGTTGGGTCTTTCCACATACTTGCCAGCAAAGAGAACCAGAACCATTCGGTGCATCGAATCCGCCCACAATGGTTTGCTGTATGGAGAATCGCGATTTGTGCGCGACGTTTGCACCACGTGATTTCAATTTGACACGCCGAAACGTGGCTCTTTGTTTAGCCTTTTCAACGGCGATGTAAACATCGGGATCGCCATTCGGAACACCACATCTTTGTTCCCGGACAGTGGCTTTGTGGGAGCCTCTGAGAAGACTGCTCGTCGTAGTCGTTGGAAGGGTCGACGGTATTGTCGTAATACTGTCGGCTGTAATTTGTAATGTGATCAAATTTTGTAAAAATTGTGTAATTCTATCAGACTTCTTAATTACCGTAACAGCATAAAGCATTGCCAGTGTTAAAGTTGGCACAGTCATCTGAGGTGGTCATTTGCATGTCAATACATAAGTTTAACGCGCCAACGACAACACAGACACCAACTGGCCCATATTCTGGATGCGTTGCCGGGGTGCAATGAGGCCCAATCGGGGCCGAAGTCGCTGTCTGTGTTGGTGAGAGAAGAGTAACGGGTGATATGGAATAAAATCTATTTTACATATTTTATCTAATTTTTATATTTATTACGTAAAATAACTATCTAACTTATATTTTATTACTACTTTTGCTCTTCTCTGAGTTAAGATTGTGTTTTAATATGAATGCTCGTGATTTGACATATGTCTTTTACATAGGCATCTCATTATGCGCAAGTTTGGGTTAAGATTGTGTTTTAATGATTCTCGTACACATGTTTCCTTGGCGTCTGACCTGTCAAAACATGCTCATTCCTTAATAACTCGCAACACACAGTTTCTTTAGATATCTAACTGCTGGTATACTCCCATGTCGTATCCTAGGGGTACAGATTACTTACAAACATCGGAACATTTTGTTTCTACCTACTCATATTATTCGTACAGTTCTGCAACATACTCATTTCTAAGGTACATCTGACTGTTGTATGTATGCCAGTTTCCATAAACATCTCATTGTCCGCAAGTGTGTAAGGCCCCAAAACGTTTTACAGTGCGTATCTTTCACAAACATCTGACGAGCTGCGTGCACTTTTTGTTACACGTTATTTGTTTGATTGTGCACAATTTTCATGAACTTTGCGATTTTAGCACACGTATCGCAATTGTCATCTGTGATCTGTCAGTTTCTGTAGACATTTAACCACGCACACGTCCATACGCTATTCTTCGTGCCTCTAAGTCTCGACATTTCTGTCGACAACTGCATTTCTATCTGAACGGGCGTCGTACAATTGCCATATTAAACAGTACACTTGCACTGAAGACTCTAAAACCATCCATCAAACTGCATGTTCTGCCCTTTTGGCAACTTAGACTACACAATTTTTCATAGGAAACTGTAAAAAAGTTGCAGTAGATGTGAAGCTGCATAGCTTATAGTAAAAGGTATTTAGCACGCTTTGTATTCCATTCTCGTCTCATTGATTGTTTTGTTCCTAAAGGTTTTCTTTTTTTGTTTTCGAGCTAAGCATTTATGTGTTAACTGGATTACTGGCCGTTACCCGCCATTTGCTATTGTTGTGCTTGCGGATTACTAATCGCAGGTAAGCAGAAACCATGTTTAACTTGGATGAAGTTTTGCGCTTTTATGCCGAGTTTCTGCAACAATGGTTGCATGAAAACTGGCCAGAAAAGGCAGAAGGGCTGTTTTCTCTCGATGCAATTGCCAATCTGTACGGGAAACAAAAGCTCATTCGTGAATACCGGAAGCTAACGCCATACAGAGCGGTGGATCAAGGGACTGGAATCCACAGACTGGACAAAGTACTTTACTCTGGAAAAGATCAACGAAAAGCAAACAAAGAAATTTTCAACATCGGAAATCACGTATCGCGTTAAAATCGAAAACCTCAATATGAAATTCGATCCTGTCACCTCAATGGAAGCAATGCCCAAAGTGTTCGAAGCTATATTCAGTGTCATTACGAAAGAATTCGGACCAGACGACAGAATCGTCATCCTTCTCTCCAGTCATACACTCAACCGCAAAGCTGATCTTCATATGAAAAGGTTACAAGATTTCAAGATTGACGACCTTATGGATATGATGGTCATGATTAATTCAAGCAACTCATTCTGCATCGACGAAAGTTTTCAAATTACAATTGTTCGGACCGTAATACCGGCTGGTGGAAGAAGAAGAAAACATATCCATACTACGGTTGACCGAAAACGATTCAGCTCGTCTATTGTTACAGTGACAACAGGAAACAACCTTTGCTTACCTGCAGCATTGGCGCTCGGTCATTTCAGAAACACTCATGATGTCAGCGGCAAAGACAAGATGAAATGGAAAGCTTTAACTAATCCTAGAGGGCGTAAGTTGGAAAAACTCGCGTGTCAGTTGGTCCAAGATGCGGGTCTCACTATTGGAAAAATGTTTGGGTTGGAAGATTTGCCGGCTTTTCAACGCGTTTTAAAGTGTCAAGTCAAGGTTATTTCTGTGCAGGAAGGAAACACTCTTATCGCACAAGTGCCGGAGAAGAAGAAACCGGGAATGAAGCAGATTTACTTAATGTACGATAAAAATCATTTCGATCTGATAACTAAACCATCTGGATACCACATGCAGAGTTATTATTGCACAAACTGCGATCAAGGATACGGCCGAAAGACAGATCATCGCTGTGAACAGAGATGCAACATGTGTTATCGCAGTAAAAGCGATTGCAAAGCCAATGACCCAAAGTTATGCCCCGATTGTGGACGAACTTTCACCAACAAAGAGTGCTTTGATGTGCACAAGACTTTACGAAAAAATGGAAGGACGCTTTGCGAGGATCTTTTCATCTGCTCCAAGTGCAACAAGTTTGTGAATATGCTCAATCGCCCGGATCAGGTTCATAACTGTGACGAAATGTACTGCTCAACCTGCAAAGACTGGGTGCCTCAAAATTCGCATAAATGTTACTTCCAACCTCTTGAACCAGAAGAATTGGATGCTAATCCGAAGTACATTTTCTTTGATTTCGAAACTTACACGTCGGTCGATGGTACTCACATTCCAAACTACGTCGTCGCGCAGTATTGCTGCGGAAAGGAATATCGTTTTCCTCCTGATGGTACTCCTCTAGCCGGTTATGATGTCATCGCAAACTTTTGCAAATGGCTTTTCCGTGAAGAGCATCGTGGCTACACGATAATTGCGCACAATCTGCGAGGATACGATGGACATTTCATTTTGGCCCACATGATAGACAATAACTTGAAGCCGGACATTCTTTGCCGTGGTAGTCAGCTGCTGAATATTCGCTACAAAGCTTTGGACATGAACGCCGTGGATACGCTTAACTTTGTGCAGCTGGCTTTGTCTAAATTTCCTAAAGCGGTCGGTCTTAAATCTGATGAGAAGAAAGGTGACTTCCTCACAAAATTAATCAGCCGGAAAATTGGGATAAAATTATTCCTTCCCAAACCCGTCTTCTTACGGTATCGAAGCAATGTGTGCCGCCAAGCAGGTCGAATTCTTTAAATGGTATACAGGCGAAAAAACAAGAAGCAAGGACGTTTTGACTTTCGGCAGCAGTTAACCAGCTACTGTTCAATGGACGTGTCAGTTTTGCGGAAATGTGCCTTAAAATTCCGAGATGATTTTATGGCTCTAGCGTGCATTGATCCCTTTAAATCCGTAACCATTGCTTCAGCTTGTTTGAAATTTTTTCGAACTTTTAATCTCCGGAAGGAAGAAATCGGAGTCATTTCAGCTCACGGTTACCAAACCAACAGAATAACCAGCATGGAAGCAACTCAGTGGCTGACCTGGGTTAACAAAACACAAGCTGATTGGCGAATCGAGCATGGGCGAAATGGAAAAGAGAAACGTATTAATGATTATTTTGTGGACGGCTACGATCAAGTTACCAACACGGTTTACGAATATAACGGATGTGTTTTTCATGGACATCCGGACTGCACCAACGCAAATGACCGTTCACCTTTATCAAACAAGACTATGCAAGAAGTTTACGAAGAATACCGGATCAAAGTTTGTTCTATAAAAGCTCGGCGCTTCAACTTTGTGGAAATGTGGTCATGCCAGTGGCGCGAGCAGTTAAAAAATCCAAGCATTCGGCAGTATATGAACGATATGTCCCTCCGCAGTCCTCTTCAACCAAAAGAAGCATTTAAGGGCGGCCGTACTAACGCAAACAGGCTACTTTACGAATGCGGTCCGAATGAGAAGATCCATCACTATGATATCGTCTCTTTGTATCCTTATGTCAACAAGAATTGTGTGTATCCAATCGGGCATCCGAAAATTATAACAGCAGACTTTAAGGATATAAGCGAATATTTTGGATTTGTAAAGTGTACAGTGCTTGCGCCGGGACAGTGCTTATTTCCTGTTTTGCCTGCAACTATAAATGGAAAGTTAATCTTCGCACTCTGCAGTAAATGTGCAGAGCTTCGGCAAAACGATTTTTGCACGCATGGCGACAAGGAGCGATTGCTGGAAGGTGTGTGGACTACTCCCGAACTGCATCATGCGATTTTACGTGGGTACAAAGTTGTTGCTGTTCATGAAGTCTGGCATTGGGAAATACGGAAAGAAAAATTGTTTGAAGACTTTGTTAACACATTCCTCAAAGAAAAAATTCAGGCAAGTGGATGGCCAAGTAACTGCACCACTGAAGCGGAACGGTTGGAGTTTGTCATAAAGTGAAGGACGTGGAAGGTATTGAACTGGATTCCTCGCAAATCGAAGACAATCCAGGCCGAAAAGCAGTTGCAAAGTTGATGCTGAACTCATTCTGGGGCAAATTCGGACAAAATGACAATCTTCATCAGACGAAAATTTTCTTCAAGCCGAAAGATTACTATGACTTCCTCGTATCAAAATCTACCTGGATCCACAATGTCCATATCTTCAGTCCTGAATGTGTCATGGCAACTATTTCCAAAATCGACGACTATCTAGAAGGATCGTACACCGCCAATATCCCTATCGCAGCCTTTACGACGAGTTATGCCCGGCTGAAACTTTTGGATATGCTTGAGAAGTTAGGTGAACGAGTACTTTATTTTGACACAGATTCCGTTATTTTTGTTCAGCGGTCAGGCGAGTGGCAGCCACCAACAGGTACGATGCTTGGAGAATGGAGCAATCAGTTAGAATCGGGAGAGTCATATTGTCAAGTTTATTTCTCTGGGGCCCAAAGTTTATTATTACGAAACAGATACAGGAAGGATAGAAAGTAAAATTAAAGGCTTTACTCAAAATGGATATACGGAGAATATCCTAGCCGATTCTGGGAAGGGCTGGTTCAAACAGGCCAGAGTATGGACTACAACCTTTGGAAATCGCTCTTGAAGAATGATGGCCAAACGGTGCGCGTTGTCTATCCCGAAACCATCAAAAGAAATGTCAACACTCATGAAATCAGCACCGTTCAACTGACGAAAACTCTCAGGCGAGTATACGATAAACGGATGCTGTTGGATGATTATAGTACTTTACCGTTTGGAACTCGCATGGAGTAAGTTAGAGTGTTCTTTCTGTACTTGTACAAAAAACAAAAAAAAAAAATTCGCATTATTTTTTTTTTGCCAGCTAGCGCCATATTCGAAGG